CTCGCCATCGTCTTTTGATGCTTCCTGCTTCGTTCAATATTTTGCTCATAGAATCTTTCAAAATTGTAACTCGAGGCTTGAATTTTTCCTTGAGTTTTTTTCATTTTAAGATATGTTAGCATGTCCTTTTTGCTTTTCTAAATCTAGATCTTTGCATATTTCATTGTAATCATTTACTTTGTCTTATCAAGCAGTACTTGGAAAATTTCTGTTCAGCTCTTTGACTACCATTTCTTCCATTGGCCTTAGCTATTCTATGATTAAACACAAGTTTCAGGGTCTTTCTTTTTTTTAAATAATTCTTTTGGGAGCTCTTACAGATATCATAACATTCCATAGTTCAATCACATCAAGCAGTATTGTACAATTGCTACTACAATCCATTTCAAAACATTTTCTTTAACTCTTTAACTTTCTTCTTTAACTCCTTGATATCAGTTCCCCTTCTCATCCCTCCCCCACCCTACTCCCCAGGAACCCTTATTTTTATTTATTTTTGCCCTATCTTACACCATCCAGTATATCCATTCACACACAATTCTGTTGTTCGCTCCCCTCCAGTGGGGTTATACAGTCATCATTGCTGTCAGCTCCCCCTTCTGCCCCTTCCCCCTACTCTCTTCCCATACCCTCGGGGAATCATTACTCCCGTTACTGTATCTGAAGGTTTATCTATCTTGGCTTTCATGCATCGAATGATCTTATTTATAGAAATGAACACACACATATCCATCAATATTAATGAAGTAAAACTAAGACCATAATAGTCAGGGGAGGAAATATTAAATAACTAGAGGACAGTTATGTGTTTCATCAGTACTACACTGCACCCTGGATATATCATCCCTTCCATGTGGCCCTTCTGTGGGCCACTGCTACAGGTGGGTTTGGGGTCTTCACTTGGTCTACGCTCCTTCACGTCAATGTGATTGCTTGTTTTTGAACTTCTGATACCTATTCCAATCAACATCTAATGATCACACAGGCTGATGTGCTTCTTCCATGTGAGCTTTGTTACTTCTCTGCTAGTTGGCTGTTTGTTTAACTCCAAGTCTTTAAGACCCCAGATGCTATATCTTTTAATAGCCATGCACCATCAGCTTTCTTCACCACATTTACTTATGCACTCAGGGTCTCTTCTGACCTTTGTTTCCTGTCAAACCAGGTTTCCTTTGTTTCTTGTCATTCTAATGACCTTTTGCTTTCTTCATTTATGATGTTCTCGATGTCATCCTATAGCTCCTCACGGCTTTTGTCATTAGTATTCAATGTGTCAAACCTTTTCTTGAGATATTCTCAAAATTCAGGTGGGATATCAAGGTAGTATTTTGGCTCTTGTTGACTCACTTTAATTTTCTTCAGCTTCAACCTGAACTTACATATGAGCGATTGATTGTATGTTTTACAGTAGGCCCGTGGCCTGGTTTTAGCTACTGATATTCAGCACCAGATAATATTTTTTGAAAGGCTGTGGTGTTATTATCTTTGTTTTCATTAAACTAGAAATTTTTCTCTTCTTGATAATATAAAACATTTAATATTTTATATTTAGTAATAATACAAGCATTCATATAGTCAATATCTAGCATGTGTTAGCTATTGTGCTAAGTGCTTTACCACAATTATCAATCTTCACCATAAGCCTGAGTTCTCCTCACTTTAAGATCATGGCCCTAAAGCTCAGGCTGGTTAAGGACATAGGTGCTTAGTGGACCAGGACGACACTGCATCCCAAGAAGATCCTTAACGGCAGAGTTAAAGACTGTTTCTAGGAAGCAAGACTCCATTCTTTGTACAAAGTAGCAAACCGAGCAAAAGAGAAAAACGGGCAGAAAAAGTACTAATATGAATTTTTCTAGGCTCTCTCTCTTTTCCCCTTCCTTTATTTCTTCCTTTTTAGTCTTAATGTTTCAAATAGATGTTCTATTCACATAATTCAAAATTTTAAAGGTATAAAAGGGGACACAGAGAAATATTACCCCCATAACCACTTAGTATTTTTGCCTCCAAAGGCATCCAGTGTTAATCGTTTCTTCTTTTTCCTCCCAGAGGTATTTATGCACCTAGAGGAACTGACTTAATGGCAGCCAGTTTTGAGTGACAGAAACATGTAATTTTGTTTCATTAAACAATTTTATTTGTTTATTATAACAAATGTATTGTTATAATCCACATATCATACAATTCAAGAATTCAGTCATATCAGGAAGAGTTGTACAATCATTGACACATCAAGTTTAGAACATTTTTTTCTTTCTTGTACTCATTGTTATTAGCTCCTTCTATCCCGGCCCCACCCCGACCTCTCCTGACACACCCACAAGAAGTCATTAATACAGTTACTCGCTATATAGATTTCCTATCCTGGATTTCATAGGGGAAAAAACACACCATATAAATGCAACACACATAACCAAAAACTTACAGAAATAACAAAATGGAACAGAGAAAAAAATCTCAATAGAAAAGAAAACAGAAAATATTAAAACCTAGAGCAACTTTTAAAATGGGTCAAAAAGGAGATCAAATAATAAGGTGTTAAATTTTAACCCAGCAACATCTGCAACAATCCACTTTCCATTGCATTCTGCATGATAGCAAGGCTATTCACATCCCTATGTTCACAGGGGATTCACCAGAGGCTTAATCCACATGTATTTCCTCTTTACTTTTCTAAAAACTGAAATAACTTTTAAATGAGGCAAAAGGGAGATCAAATAAGATGTTACATTTTAGCCTAACTGTATCTACTCAAATCATCTCTGCACTACTCTGATAATAAGTCTATTCACATCCCTTGTCAGAAGGGACTCACCAGAGCCTTAATCCATGCATGGACCCAGCATGTGATTTGGGGCTTCCACTGTCATGCACAGCCTTCTGCTAATTGGTGTTCACAATTTAAGCTCTGATACTATTCCTTCCTTCAGATTTGGATTATATTATTTGCAATCCTTGGATCACACAGGCTGGTGTGCTTTTTCCACGTGGACGTAGTTGCCGACATCAGGTCCTCATTTTTTCCCTCCCTCCTAGCTCCTCCCTCCCTCATGAGCCCTTGATAATTTATAAATTATTATTTTGTCATATCTTGCCCTGTCCAACGTCTCCCTTCACCCACTTTTCTGTTGTCCGTCCCCCAGGGAGGAGGTCACATATAGTTCCTTGTAATCGGTTTCCTCTTTCCAACCCACTCTCCCTCTACCCTCCCAGTATCGCCACTCACTCCACTGGTCCTATAGGGATCATCCGCCCTGGATTCCCTGTGTTTCCAGTCCCTATCTGTACCAGTGTACATCCTCTGGTCTAGCCAGACTTGCAAGGTAGAATTTGGATCATAATAGTGGGGGCGGGGAGGAAGCATTTAGAAACTAGAGGAAAGTTGTATTTTTCATCATTGCTACATCGCACCATGACTGGCTCATCCCCTCCCCGAGACCCCTCTGCAAGGGGATCTCCAGTGGCCTACAAATGGGCTTTGGGTCTCCACTCCACACTCTCCCCTCTCATTCACTATGGTAAGATTTTTTGTTCTGATGATGCCTTACACCTGATCCCTTCGACACCTTGTGATCGCATAGGCTGCTGTGCTTCTTCCATGTGGGCTTTGTTGCTTCTGAGCTTGATGGCTGCTTGTTTACCTTCAAGCCTTTAAGACCCCAGACGGTATGCCTTTTGATAGCCGGGCACCATCAGCTTTCTTTGCCACATTTGCTTATGCACCCATTGGTCTTCAGTGATCCATTCGACACCTCGTGATCACACAGGCTGATATGTTGTTCCATATGGGCTTTGTTGCTTTTGAGCTAGATGGCCGCTTGTTTACCTTCAAGCTTTTAAGACCCCAGATGCAATATCTTTTGATAGCCGGGCACCATCAGCTTTCTTCACCACATTTGTTTATTCACCCACTTTGTCTTCAGTGTCGGGAAGGTGAGCATCATAGAATATAGCTCCATATCTTCAGTGGTCCTTTCATGAGAGTAAGTATCAAGTAGGGCCATGTCATAAGAACTAACTGTTCTTAGAATGAGGCTACAATTTAGTGTGAGCCCAAAATCCATTTGTATATCTATGGTTTATATATGTCTCTGGTTCACCTTGGAGACATCACTGTCATTTTATGTTAGAGAACATTATCGTTACCCTGGGGCATAAGGTAATTCTATTAATAGTATCATTAATTTAGCCAGTGGTATAGAATTTAAGACACAGTTGAGAAAAGGAGATTATACAAATATAGGCTGGCTATATATACAAATATAGGTTGACTATTTATTTTTAATACAAGAAAAAATAGTGATATACTGTGTTCACTTGTATATCTTGCTTTTTCATTTATCAAGGTATCTTGGGGATTGCACAAATTAAAATTTTTAAGAGACCCTCAATCATTTTTATTGACTATATTGCATTTCATTGCACAGTTTAAACCAATTGTTTTTAAGCAATATCGTGTTGAGCCTTGGCATAATGGGTTGCACATTGGGCTGTTAACAAGCGGCAGTTTGAAACCACTAGCCGTTCCATGGGCCAAAGCTGAGGCTTTCTGCTCCGGTAAAGACTTACAGTCTCTAGAAGCCCACAGGGGCAGTTCTACTGTAGCCTGTAGAGTAACTATGAGTCAAAATCAGCTCTATAGCAATGAGGTTTATTGAGTTTTGGAGTTGGGGTTATTTTTGGTAATTTTCTTAGGCATTAATATTATTTCTAACCTCTTTGCTATTACAAGCAATGCTACAGCGAGGAGCATTATTTGTAGGTCATTTTTCACATATGCAGCTTCATCTTGATAAATTACTGGAAATGGAAATGCTGCTTCCGAGGGAGGAGCTTTTGTAACTTGGATGGGAATTGCTACATGGCCCGATTGCCCGTTCTAACAGGTAACTTCGTACTGTCAGTGGTTGAGTAACTGGTTTCCCACAGTGTTGTCGACATCTCTGGCGTTGAACTTTTCTGACTTACTGGGTCGTGACTGCTCTGCTTTGCTCTCACAGGGGTCAGCAGAAATGGCTACAATTAGATCTCCGGGTTCTTGACCACGATTTGCCCAAGAAACCAGGCCCAGCCACTCTGCACTTTGCCGTGAGGTACGTACGCACAGGTGTGTCTAGAACGTCTGCTTTTCCCTCACCTTGCCTCTCCCCTGTCCCCACTTTTTTCTTTTTACATTTCTGGTGATGAGAGATAGAAAGTAAAAAGACAAGAGACTTACCAAAACATTATTATGTAAAAGATTCGCTGCTGTTTGTGCCTGGGGACCACGTTCCCATAGATACTGTGTAGGAGTGTCGTCTTTGAAGATGAAGGACAGACCTTCCTGTATTCCTCAAAGCCACTTGCATCCACTTAAAGCTGAAAAAGTAGGCAAAGCATTTGAATATATAAGCCTCCTTCCCACTCAACATACCAATACTTTTAGCATGCTCATTACTATTATTTGAAATGTGGCAAACATTTGTGAAGGAAGAATGTTTTCTAGAGACTAGGGGAAAATAGAACTTTACAAAATTGCAAACCTTCATTTAAGTGAAAGATGAAATGCAAGCAAATGCTCCCAGGACGAATGGGCTTAACGGAGACCTGAATTCTGCTTGCTCACAGTGAAGCTTGGGAGGACGATGCCAGGGCTCTTTGATTTGCTGTCTGAGTTCTGTTTGGGCAAGTCGCTCTGCCATCTGGTCGCTGTTGCTCCCTGCTCTGGAGCTGGCCCTGACTCAGCCCTGGCTCCTGGTGGCCCCCCATGAAAGGCACAAAGAAAGGAAGAAACGCTGCCCAGTCCCGAGCCATCCCCAGGAGGAGTTAAGGATCCGACACTGGTTCCTTGTGAGTTATGGAGCCTTGGGGGACTGGTTTTCAGAAGCCCATTAGCAGTCCAGCCTTCCTTTCTAGTCTGTCTACGTCTGAAAGCTCTGCTGAAAAACCTGTTCAGTATCACAGCAACACACAAGTTCCTACTGACAGACGTGCCTTTTGATGGAAGGCCAAAATCCCACCACGTACCACCCATGCCTCCACCCACGTAGTTTGTACAGGAATTGTTCCGTGTCATTGGCTTCATCCCACGGCACCCTCCCTCCTTCTAGCCTCGGGTCTGCCATTGCCTTTTGTCTGAAGGTTCTATCCCTTTCCACCTTCTTGTCTTTGCTGTGGGTCAAGTGTTGGCTTGACGACTCAAAGAAAGGAGCCCTGGGGCATCGTGGGCTGCGACCCACAAGGGCGATATTTTGAACCCACCAACCACTCCTCGGGAGGAAGATGAGGCTTTCTTCTCCTATAAATAGTTACAGCCTCCGAAACCCAAAGGAGCAGTTCCGCCTTGTCCTTCAGCGGTGCTTCTCTACCTGCCTCCTGCCAAGACCCTTTCATACTCTTCCTCATGTGGCGGTGAGCCCAACCATAACATTACTTTTGTTGCTGCTTCATCACTGTCATTTTGCTACTGTTATGAATTGGGTGACCCCTGTAAAAGGGCTGTTCGACCCCCAAAGGGGTCGCGACCCACAGGTTGAGAACCGCTACCCTATACGTAGGTATGTATACGTTAGAGCTGGCTCAGTGGCATTGAGTGAGTTCTTTTGAAGGAACTCACTTCTTTCAGTGTTATTATGTATTCTTATGTACCTGTCTACTGTTTGTTTGAAAGTTAGTTTCTGGGCTTCAGTTTCAGGTTAGGAGGGCCACAGTCAAGGGGGTTCCCCATGTCTGTCAGAGGGTGTGTGTGTGTGTGTGTGTGTGTGTGTGTGTGTTGTGAAGTTGATGTTCTGTTCTACGCTTTTCTCTTGCTCTGCCTAAGGCACTCCACTGTGCTCCCAGTCAGAACAGCCAGTAGCGAGAGCCAGGTTCGATCTAGTTCTTTTAGGTCTCTCGGTACCGGAGGCTGCGGTTCATGTGGTCTGTTCCCCCTAAGGGCTACTTACTCCCTTGAGTCTTTGGCTTTCCTTACTCTCCTTTGCTCTGGACTGGAAGAAACCAACACTTGTATCTTAAAACCTTCCAAGACTCAGATGCCACTCACTAAAGTAGGATAGATGCAGTGCACTGTCTTTAAGTCCTGTGTTGTGCCAATTACTGTCCATGCCCCCCTAGCCTATGGTCCTTTGCCTTAGAGCCTAGGAACCCTGTCCCTCAAGGTGTGTGGTTATATCTAAGTTTCCATGACTGTGCCCCTGTGTACTCTCTTGCCTATAGTAATCGACATGCAGCACTTGCATTTGTGGTTGCAGCGAGTGTGAGCTCACTCCGACTGCCCTTTGAATGTCCCTGTTCTTTTCTCCTGGTGCACATGGGGGAGCTGCTAGAGGAAGTTCCTAGCAGGGAAATGTCTGAGTCACACACGTACTGTGCCTTTAGAGAATGGAACAATTACTGTTTCTTCTTTCGGAGCTGGATTGTGTAGTGGTTCTTTGACAGCTAATATCTGGTTTATTTTCATTCTCAAAATAGCAGGCGAGAAAACCTTGTCTTGCCCTGTGCAGTGTCAGGCGGCTGTATCTTTTCCAGGCAGAGTTCCCGAGATTCCGGCAGCCTGGTGCTTGTTCATGAGTTTCAGCACTTACTTACACAGGGCTATCTTGAGAGTGCCCGTAATCACTCAGCATTTCTCTTCCTTAATTGCTTACATGTTCAAAAGCCTTATCCGTTTTTTAATTATTCACTTAGTTCTTCCTCCCAACAGTAGAGTAAGATTATAATCCTTATGGTTATTATTCCAATTAAGTATTTGTTGTTACTCCAATTCACTTAACGAAATGATAAAGCAAAAGCACACTCCAAAACTTAAAGTGGATGAGCCAAGTTCACTGAGTGGGAAATGTAAGTTGACGTACCCGCCATGAAGTAAGAGGAGCCCTCGTGGAATAGTAATTACACATTGGGCTGCTGACCTCCTGGTCAGCAGTTCAAAACCACCAGCCACTCCTGAAGAACAAGATGAGGCTCTGTACTCACGTAAAGAGGTACAACTTCAGAAACGCACAGGGACAGCTCTGCCCTGCCCTATAGGGTCACCATGGGTCCGAATCGACTCAGTGGCAGGGAGTGTGCTTTGTTTTTCTCTTTTGAGTTACGGATGCCTCTGAAAATGCAGGAGATTTCTTTGGATGGTGAGGCCCTTGCCTCTTGCATTAGCAAATCTCGCCTGCATGCTCTGAGACAAAAACCCTCCGAATCCCACCTTCATGGACGCTGAGGGGGACAGCCACTGAGCAGTTGACATGCAGTGTTATTTGTTATGCAAACAATTAGAAATATCTAAATGCCCAGCAATGGGAGATCAATTTTTAAAAAAGACAAGCCAGTCAGGGAGCAACAGAAACATACCGAAGAAACATACAACTTTCCTCTAGTTCTTTAATGCCTCTCCCCACACCACTATCATGACCCCAATTCTACCTTACAAATCCAGCTAGATCAGAGCATGTACACTGGAACAGGTAAGAGCTTGAAACACCAGGAAGCCAGGACAAATACGCCCCTCATGACCAATAATGAGAGTAGCAATACCAGGAGGGTAAGGGAAAGGTGGAGGGAGAAAGGGGGAACAGATCACAATGATCAATGTATAACCCTCTCCCTGGAGGATGGACAATAGAGTAGTGAATGAAGGGAGACATTGGTCCGTATAAGACATGAAAAAAAAATTATAAATTATCAAGGGTTCATGAGGGAGGGGCTCACGTAGAAAGAAAATATTTTGAAAATGATGATGGCAGCATATATACAAATATGATTGACACAGGGATGGATGGATGGAATGTGGTAAGAGCCCCCAATAAAATGTTGTTTTTTTAAGTTGATCACATTATTTTAAAAGGTTAGATTTTATTTTATTTTTTTAATCGTTTTATTAGTGGCTCATACAACTCTTAACACAATCCTTACATACATCAATTGTGTAAAGCACATTTGTACATTCATTGCCCTCATCATTCTCAAAACATTTGCTCTCCACCTAAGCCCCTGGCAT